CGCCTGGCGTGAGTTTAAGCCACCAGGTCCGGGACGCGAACCACAGTCGACTACGTGGGAGTCCAGCGACATAGCCATTATGCTAACTGTGGTCCCAAAATAATGCAGATTTTTAAAAATGTTGGTAGTCAATTAATATTCTTTCTTTCTTTCTTTCTTTTTTTATTCTTGAGAAGTTTTTGCTATAGGGCACGTGCACTCACCAGACAGAGAAAGACAGAGAGATAGAAAGCGAGAAATCACCCCCCAGAGGTGATGGCCATGCTGCAATCCCTTCTCCTCCATTCTCCTCTCAGGATCTTGGGCATGCATGCACACGTGCCCGGCGTGAGTTTAAGCCCCCGGGGCCGGGACTCGAATCACGGTCGACTACGTGGGAGTCCAGTGACATAGCCATTACGCTAACTGCTGGTCCCGTCCATTAATTTTCTTTAAAAAACATCACTAGAGCCTGGGCCAGCAGTGGAGATGCAGCAGCAACACAACACTTTCCAACACCAAAGCTATATAGGAAAAGCTCTTCCTGAGATCTCCTTAAACACACTCGTGATCCTGGCTAGCTAAGGATGATGATGGACTGTGGCATGAATACACTTTGGGGGTGTACTCTCTCTCTCTTCTACAGAACCCTCTCTCTTTCTCTTGTTCTTGCATGAAAAAATATCAATAAACTTTAAAACGAAATCACTGTAGTCCTACTGGTCCCATCTTCTGCCTAAATTAGGTATGTGACCTGCTACTTTAAAATTTGTGTTTTAAGGAAATGATGTATTTCATGTTCTCTCTTTCCTGAATTCTGTTTTGAGCTCCAAAGACCCTTTTGAAAGATGCAGGCCATCTTCCTCTGGCCACATACTGTAGGATTCACCGTAAACAGGAATCAAAGGAAGTTAGGCCTTCAAAACACCTGTTTACAAAGGATGCTCTCAACGGGAAGCCAGACTAGTAACCAGACCTTACATTCAGGTCAACATTAGGCAGATTTCACACTCACTCTGAATCCCTCCCTCACGGCCTTCAGACTCTAGTCTTGGGCTCATCTCTTCTCATAGGTGCTGATTCTGCCATGTCATCCCATGTCTGAGCCTGGCCTGACCTGACATTGAATATGATCACAGATCTGGCTGGCAGTGGGGTTTAGTATTCCCTGTCCCAACAGGATGTGAGTCGCCAATGGTACACCATTGCCAAGGCACAAGATGGACTGACCCCTCCTCACCACCATCCTACCTCCTTTCAGAAAGGCACAAAAGACCTAAAGTAGGGTGGGCTCAGCTTACCCAGGTACAGAGAGTCTCACCCTGCCTCCCTGAGAGGGCTCGTTGCACGTGTGGGAGGGGGCTTTGGCAGGGGGCTGACTGGACTGATGCTTTGTTGGTGTGGCCCTTGTATTTCCTGTGAACCCAGCAAGCACAGGTGAGCAAAATGCTTAAAGGGACAGCGGCATGGCTGTGCCTGACCTTCCTATACCACTTGACTCTGCCAAGGATTCGCGAACAAGGGCTCATTAAACAGCCTCCAAACTCCACCTCAGCTATTAAACATAGAGACTGAGAGAAATCAAAGAGCCTGGCCTCTTACAGGAGTGACAGTGACCATTAGTGCTGACTGCAGCATGAACTGTAAGGTGACCACACAGAACGGCTAACCCCAGGTGGCTTACCACCTGCCATGGCTTCCCCTGCCTGAATGACTACCTCTGAAATGCTGTCCTGTAAAGGATCCAGATTATGTTCGGTTTTATGGTAAGCCACAGCCATAAGGCAACATAAACGGGTTCTCAACCTCAGACAGCTATTTAACATGACAAGACTTCAGTATAATGATTAATTCCCTGGTGTGATTCATTCTAGAAATACTTGCTCAGGCTAAAGGACACTGGACAATGAGAAATCCATTCTCTGGACACACAGGGAGGGCAGGGGGCGATGTTGAGATTAGCTGAAGATGGCTCTGCACCTGCAGTTGCTGGGGAGAGGCCTGCTTGCGTAAGCAGGTGCCTCAGGCTAAGGCAAGGGGTGCTTTGCGGCCTTCTACAATGAATCACAAATTCATGGGGTGGGCATCCTTACTGCAAATTATCTGCAAATAAATGGTTCAATGGGTATCCTGTGGCAAGAGGGGATTCTTGGATAGATACAAGCACATCTTGCAAACGGCCCTATGACAACTCCAGCACTATCTCCTTCATTTTGGGGACACTCCTGTGAATTAGCTACAGGCCAAGTACAGTCCTCCTGCTTAGACAAATGGTGGAAAGAGGCAGAGAGAGGGCAAGTCCCCAAGCAGAAGGAGCAGAGAGGAAACCAGGGTGAGGACAGCCTAAACTGTTCATCTGCTCGTCTCCCTCCTCTGCAAGGTTTTCCTGTCTCTTCACAAGGGTGTACTTCTCATAGTCAATGGCTCCAACCACAGCAACTCCCTGGGTACCAAGTCCAGCTACACCTTGAGAAGCAGGCCTGAGCATCTGGTGTTAGACAGATGCTGCTGTTCATGGAGGACTGCTCTGTCCAGGGCACTGAGTGAAGTAGCAGTTACAGGCACAGAGGGACATAATCCTCTGAGAACCAAAAACAGAGGGACCTTTGTTAATCCCATGGACACATGAGGACATCTGCTCAGAGGTTGTCCAAAGTCATGTGGCCAGAAGGGGTGAACTGAGATCTTGATCCCAGGTCCTCTGATCCTACTGTAGTAGCCTCTGGGCAGCCTCTGACCGGCCCTCTGTGAAAGGCCAGGCAGCACAGGGTGGCCCTTGAGGACCCGATGGACACCGAAAACCAGGTGTGGATAGTCACAGGCAAAGGGACAGATTATTACAACACTTGATGTGACATCCATTTTAAATCTAGTACAAAGCATGAAATTTTTTTAAGTGTCATATGTGTTTTTGAATCTATCATCATGTTGGGACAGAATTACATGTTATTATTATACTCTGAAAGCAGGTACTTGGCTACTGAGAATTCTTTTTTGGTTTATCAAATGTATGATCATGAAAATGATTGAGTGCTTAATCTGAAAATGAGACTGATAATTATTTTTAAATGACATACATTTATAATTAATTTTATTTTTAATAAGGAATAGCCATTAAGAACTTTTGTATTACCTATCTTAGACCAGATTATAGGCTTTATATTTTAATTCAACTTAACTAATGTTCTCAGAGAGGACAGAAAGTATTCAGGGTACTAGGAATTAATAGCTCAATCAAGTCTTATTTTGTAATAAAAGGGCACTAATAATTAATGAAATCAACCTGACCATATTCCTTTTTTTGTGTTTTTTTCCTTGTGACTTCATCATCATTCCCCAATCTTGATGTAAAAGCCCTTGTCCCATTCAGTTCATGCCAACCACCTGCCACCCTTTCCAGTTTATCCCACTAGACCTTCCCTACCACGAATAAAGCCTTCCACAACTCAACTGTCTTCAACTCCATCCCAGGTACCAGCATCATATTGGGAATTCAGCATCCTCAGGAGTAGCCTACCCCACCACCCCCTACCCTCAACTTCCTGACCTCACAAAGCCCTCCTTGTTGAGAGCCAACTAGGAAGTCTTTTCTCCCTCTCCCCCCTCCCAGGCCAGCTCCTCCCACCAGGGCCACTGCCCTCAAGGCCACAATGGGGAACTGCTCCTCTAAAAACCCTGATCCAAATACCCTACACTAACACACCTTCTGCCTCTCCAGCTCTAGGGATTACCTCCTCCTGGAAGAATCATTTGGACCTCCTATTCAAAATGACAGAAACCAAGAGGAATCAGATTTCAATCCTTTAATGACAACATTTGATGACAACAATGGGACTTCCTCAGCCATGGAACATGTCTGTCCTGGCTGAGGCTGTGAGGATTCCCACTAGCTCTAGGACTGATCCTTAGCCATTCTTCCTGGATCCAGGCATCTCATCCAGCATAGAGAAACTCACAGTCTCTAAGGGACGGCGGTTGGGCTCACAGTTGTCGACTTCTCTCTCTCCATTTTGAGGACTTGTGTCCATTCTTCCATTGTTGCTGGCCTCGGAGCCTACTAGCTCCAGGATGTAGTCAGTAAGGTAGTCAAGCATCATAAGGAAGACATCTGTTGTGGACCAATTCAGGCACTGGATGTATTGCTCCTCCTGAAGTAGGCAGTCTAAGAAGCTCAAGGGTACCTGTAGGTCAGGTCTAGGAGAAGGGTCTTCAGGCTGAATGCTAAGTCTACCAGTGTTCTCTTGGCTCTTTTTCTCCGACATGGTGTTTGCTGGAACTGGCTCCAATCAACTCTGCCTGTTTCTCCAGCTGGACTGCGTCTGAAGATACCACTGTTCAGTCCTGCCCTTTGTATTCCCCTGATCTTGTCTCTGATTGGTCAGCAAGCTGCCTTTGTGACATCATAAACTGTGGGATGTCACTGGTGTTCACTGTACTGTTGCCAGGCCACAGCCTAGAAATGTCCATGAGAGGACCTTGGTTACCCTTGAGAAAGTAAAATCATCTTTCTAAGCTACTTAGAATGCGGAAACCATCTGAATTTTAAATGGCCCTTAGCAAAACATTGGCCTGAGACTAATTTTTCCCAAAATGACATAAACTAACCTGCAAAGGGTTATGGATTTTTACAATGTGATCCCACCTAACACTTCTTCCACCCAGTTTCCTCTAGCTCATGATGTAAAGTAAGGTAGAGCCCATCATTCTTACTAAACAACTTGTAGCCTGCCCTCTTCTTGCTTCTCTCTCTCTCTCTCTCTCTCTCTCTCTCTCTCTTAATAAGCCAGTTTTCTCAGGTGCCATTTTCATGATCACATT